AGACCCGTATTCAAGACTCTGGCGAAGTACTACAAATTCGATCTCCATCTGTCGCTTCGAAAAGCTTGTTTTACGTGCGCTTATCCGGGGACCCTGTGGCATCTTCGTCTGGTCTTGCTGGCGTTGGTGTCGCACTAAGCGCTAGAGCTGAGGCAGCACTAGTCGATTGGATCCCCATTAACAGTCGGTTATGTGCTGTTAGATTAGAAAGTTCCATCAAAGTGAGAAGAAATCGGCGTGAGAAACGATGTCTTTTCGTCATCTCCGCCTATGCCCCGACAGATTGCAGCCCGGATGCAATCAAGGATGAGTTTTACCACCAGTTATCAGTTCTTCTCCAGAAAGTGCGTTCGACAGATATTGTAGTACTAGCCGGAGACTTGAATGCTCAGGTCGGGCGTCTAGGCACAGAAGAGAGTCGTTTAGGTGGCCGATGGGGACTCGTTGGTCGCAGGTCAGATAACGGGGACCGTCTACTGCAACTTTGCACAGACCACAACCTGTTTCTGGCTAGCACTAACTTTCGGCACAGTCATCGCCGATGTGCCACCTGGCGTCCTCCCTCTGCATCTCAAGCCTGGACTCAGATTGATCACATCGCGATCAGCTACCGCTGGCGTGGTTGTGTAAAAGACTGCCGCTCCTTTTGGAGTACCTATCTGGACTCTGACCATGCCTTGGTCTGCGCCAATCTTACCTTACTTTTCAGTGGACAACGAAGTGAACGCCATCAACGGATTGATGTTAGCAAGCTGGTTGCAACTTCTGTTGCAAGTAAGTATCGAACCGAGCTAGCCTCTAGGCTAGCTACCACTCCACCGAAAAGTATAGATGAGCATTGGTTGCAATTGCATGACGCCATGAAAATGGCGGGAACAGTCAGTTGTGGGTTTGCGAAACGTCCCGCCTTTAAGCACTGGGTTTCTTCTGGTTCCTTACAACTCATTGAAGCCCGTCGGTCTACTCCGGGTGACCGTGAGTTTGACCATAAACGAAGGATGTTACGTAAGGAGATTGGGCAAAGCTTGCGTAAGGACCGAGAAGCCTGGTGGTCGATGCGTGCTAATGAGCTGGAAGCAGCAGCTGCATCTGGTAACTACCGGAAGCTCTTCCAGCTCATCCGAGCCACTGGCAGCAAGAAGTCTGGTGTGAGTGAAACAATCTGCGAGGATGATGGGATGCCAATCACTAACATCCATCGACGTCTTGGACGATGGGCAGAATTTTTCGAAGGGCAGTTCAACTGGCCTGCTGCTCCGGCAACATCGGTCAGACTGTCCTGCCCTCCATGGCCGGTGACGACTGATCCACCAAATGAGGAGGAAGTCCGCAAGGAACTCCAACTCTTGAAGCGTTACAAATCACCTGGCCCAGATGACTTACCTCCGGCTCTTTTTAAAGATGGTGGTGACTTTTTGACTAAGGAATTGACGACGTTGTTTACAAAGGTTTGGGAACTAGAGTGTGTACCAACGTCATGGAATGAGTCGATAGTTGTCCCTATCTTTAAAAAGGGTTCACGTCGTTCTTGTAACAACTATCGGGGGATAAGTTTACTTCCGATTGCGTCCAAGCTATTGGCTTCCGTCATTCTTCGTAGGTTGTTCAAAACCCGAGAAAGATTGACTCGCGAGGAGCAGGCTGGGTTTCGTTCTGGTCGAGGATGTATTGATCATATCTTCACCCTCCGCCAAATGTTAGAACACCGCCATACTTTTCAAAGGCCAACAATCGTAGTGTTTCTTGACATCAGGGCTGCCTTCGATTCGTTGGACAGGACTGTTCTCTGGGATTGTCTATTGAAGAAGGGTGTGCCTGAGAAGTTTATTAACATCCTGAAAGCCCTGTATAAAAACACCTCAGGCAGAGTGAGGGCATACAACCACCTCTCTCCATTGTTCCATTCGAGCAGTGGGGTTAGGCAGGGTTGCCCAATCTCACCATTCCTCTTCAACTTTGCCATCGATGACATTCTGGAAACAGCTCTGATGAATGTAAGTAATGGTGGTGTGGATCTGTTGCCTGGAGAAAGACTTCTCGACCTTGAGTATGCGGACGATATTGTCTTACTGTGCGATAATGCCCAAGGCATGCAATCCGCACTTAATCAGTTGGCAATCAGTGTCCGTAGGTATGGTATGTGCTTTGCACCTTCGAAGTGCAAAGTACTTCTACAAGACTGGCAGGATTCTAATCCTGTACTCACCCTGGACGGTGAGCAGATAGACGTAGTTGAGAAGTTCGTGTATCTGGGTAGCTGCATAAGTGCTGGTGGGGGTGTGAGTGATGAGATCAATGCACGAATAGTGAAAGCCAGAGCGGCTTATGCCAATCTGGGCCACCTTTGGCGCCTTCGTGATGTTAGTCTGGCTGTAAAAGGTCGGATCTACAACGCGTCGGTGAGAGCAGTTTTGCTCTATGCTTGTGAAACCTGGCCTCTCCGAGTTGAGGACGTTAGACGACTCTCTGTGTTCGATCATCGCTGTCTCCGAAGGATTGCTGACATTCAGTGGCAACACCATGTCAGTAATGCAGAGGTTCGGCATCGTGTGTTCGGGCACAGAGATGATAACTCAATTGGTGTCACCATCTTGAAACACCGACTTCGGTGGCTTGGACATGTTCTCCGAATGTCGTCCCAGAGAATTCCACGTCGTGCATTATTTGCCGACTCTGGGACTGGTTGGAAGAGGCGGAGAGGTGGTCAGTGCATGACATGGTGTCGTGGCATGAAAGAAAGCTGCAAAGGACTGGCTTGTGTTGGTCCTTCACGACTCCCTGGTTGGGGTCCGAGAGATGGTGCTACACAGTGGCTAGAGACGTTATCAGATATGGCTCAGAATAGAAGCCAGTGGCGATCCTGCTGTAACCTTCTTTTACTTTCTTTCTAAAAAGTGGTTGTGTCTCCTTTACCTGAAAGATTTCTTCTGATTGTACCTTTTCGTTCCGTCGTTACTACCACACTACCTTACTCCAATCTCTTCGTCATTGTTCTCTTTTTCTTTTGCGTTCCCTAGTTTTTTTTTTCTCTTTCTATTTCTCTTCGAATTTTCATTGTTTTGTGTGGCGCATATATATTGGCGCTCTCTTGTACCAATATTTATGTGTTCAAATAAATAAATAAATAAATAGTTATCTCATAATTAGACTAAAACACAAACTGAATGGTATGATAGCTTATTACCTGTTGGCTTACAGTATGTAGGACTAAGGCCCTAAATGTCACTGTAAATAAGTCAAAATCTAAGCCTGGTTGATCCCGTTTCCATTCGTTTTCTTCTGCATGGACAGTAAGATAAATCATAAAATTGGTCAGGTTTAAAGCAGAGTACATCATTTAAAATTGTAAAATGTGAATTAAGGATTGTTCGTCATATAAAATAAAATCGTTAATGTTTGGGTGACTAATATGAAGTATTAACTTGAATAAACTTGCACGTTAAATGAAACTATATGATAAAAGATCAGAATAAATATGGTCAGCATGAGGTGAGAGAATAATGTAATTACAAATCAGAAATTAATATATAGAATAACAAACATTAACGATTTTATATTATCTGACAAACCATCCTTGATTCACATGTTACAATTTTGAATGATGCACTCTGCCTTAAACCTGGCCAACTTTATGGATTGTTAATTTGGATATATAATTGTAGAAGCTGATGAGGAATTATTGAAAATGTTTTTCATTCATATAATTGTTTTAATATAATGGGAATGTTTCAGCACGATAAACCTCAACAAAATTCTCGGTATTGTTGTCCAGACAGTTTTCACTTCTATACGATTCTATATTTCTCATATCACCGACGTTTCTCAAGTGATGTACTAGAATTTATCTTTGATGCTTTTTATGATACTAAATTGAAATGTATTTGGTATCTGATTTAAATGTAGTGACTTATAACACGTTTCTGAATAAATCACTCGTAGTCAACACCTTTTTAAACCGTAAATCTGTACAAACTGAACACCAGCCATCGACAAATCAAACTCTTTCCATCGAGTCAGAATGCTTAAATGTCGAAAAACTATGACTAAACTCTTAATACACAATCAAAGTAGATACACACCAACGGTGCACCAGTTTTCTTTATTTCGTAATTCAACAGTTATAATAGACGCCTGTAAACGTTTGGTTGATGCTCTACATATAGAAAGAAGATTAAGACAAATTTATTTCCAGAGCCCAAATAATTAAGGTTACTATGCATGTATTCGAAATGAAACGAACAGGAGAATGTAAGCAGTAACCTTGATCAGATGAATGCACAATAGGCAGAACAGAAGTTCCTCACTCACTGTGTCTCTTACAGATAGTATGTGGTCTGTTTGATATTGGTCAGCAAATCGTCCTAAATAGCTGTATAACATATTTTTATGAAGTCCCCTAATCCTTATTTTTTTCCATAATTATGGACAAATATAGGACCAAGAATCAAATCAATCGGAGATACAATCAAAACAAGGAAGCAAACAATGAAAGGCTAAAAGTCGACAATAATCAATCAAGATCGAGATCTACAGGACAAACTGGGAGTCATATGTGGAGAAAATCGAACACTTCACTTCTACTCGAAGTCTATGCTGACGATGTCATTCAGAAGAACGACGAAAGCTCCGCGACCAAGCCATACAACTCAGAGAACAAAACTTCACCAAAAACCAATACACACTCGTGCCAGGTCTTACGTGCAACATTGCATGGTCGTTAAATACGAGACTATCTTGCCCCAACTAAACCATACGCTAAAAGAAGTCCCAAGTCACTGATTAGTTAGTTATGTATTTCATAATCATTACGTTTCTTTCCAATAATAAGCAAAGAATTTGAACTTTGAAGCAGCTTGAATTTACATGGAGAGGGTATCGAAACTGAAATCTAATGACACATCAAATATAGATAGTCTATACGTTGGCATGAAAACTAAAGGGAACAAAATATAAGAGGGTACTAGAATAATATAGAAAAATAGAGTCTAAACGATCAAATATCAGGAAAAAGTCGATAAGCGTTCTTCAATGTATGGCAACAGTTTTTCTGGAGAACCACGAGTAAATCCAACAAAGCCAGCTTGCTCTGGTGGAATTTCAGGACCCAATAACCTCTTAATTTCAGCCAACGGCATATCCTAAACACCGGGAAACAAAATTATGATGAAAAAATTTCTGGATGGACATTCAAAGACTTACCTTATTGCATAAAAACTGAGAAGAATAAGTGGACTCATCACCTGTCCATATCAAATGGTTAAGTGATGCAGGAGTACAAACGAGAGCATGTTTTCCGTGCAAGAGAGCAAGTGCAAGTTCCTCCTGATGATTATCCATCAACGTTTCATTTACAACGACAATTAGTCGGCGACTTCCAAATGGAGTAAGAGCCTGGATACAAGTGCCTGCACCGCCATGACTAATAACTAATGATGCACTTTTAAACTCATCAACAAGGGAATCTTTGTATCGAAAGGATTTCATGCGTAAGAAGGGAGTTGTAGACAAATGTTCAGTATTTTCGGCACAAATGTCTTCCGGAATACGGGGTGTGATAGATCCACTTCCATATTGTATGATCAGATCTTTATATCCCAATCTTGAAAGACCTTTATGGAATTCGACTTTATTGACCTCATTAATCAGCCCATCAAATGAAGTCGTGCCAACAGTAACGAATACAACGGCCATTTCTTAGGATCAACAAATGGTACTCATAAAATAAGCAAATATCTGACACCCGCAAGTCCTACTTGGAAGTACTATATTTAAGACCAGACAACCTAATCTTTTTATCTACCTAAAACGAAATAAAATACAGTGCACAAACATACTGGTTGAAGACAGCAACGGTAAAAAGCGTGCCTGAGTGATGCACACTCACGAGGGAAGTTGTCGCGTTCTAAACACTCTCGGGGAGTGAGTTTTTTCTAAAACATGCTATGACTTTAACAGGACATACGTCTTGACAACAAGAGCTACGTAGTAAACAGAATAGTAAATCCGCCTTCTGTTCCTCACAAGGTCCTTTTTCTTTCATTCACGTAAGCTGATTGGTAAAGCCTTGTATTTGACTATTCTGAAATACAAAAAGGGATGTTTACTCAGACGAATAATTATACCGATAAGTATAATGAGTTTCATTGCACTTCAGTGCGTTACCAAGTCAAAAATGATTGAGAGTTAAGGGTTAGGATGCTAACAAACGAGTCTTTAAATCATGTAAAAGAAGAATATCTACTGTAATTCGTTACTTTCTTTTAATATATTTTTACTTTATGCTGTCTTCTTATTGACTAATAATTGAAATTGCTCAAACGCTTCTGATTGGCTCGTCCCTAAATTAAAGACTCGACGTCCCATCTATTGTAACCTCTCATTAATCACCTACTCTCTAAAATCCGCTGTGAACCGACCGTATGTTAGCATCGCGTGTTGAACTTGGCTCCGTGAACTTGAAATTGCTCAAACGCTTCTGATTGGCTCGTCCCTAAATTAGAGTCTCGCCATGATTATTAGTGAAATAAGAAATTCATATAAATATTATGGGGTTGTCCCTCAATAGTTAAATGCTTTGTTTATACACCGCATTGCAAAGCAGCCTCTGTCAAAGGTTTTCGTGTGTTATGGTCACTTCGCCGAGCGTTCAAATCTTTTGACGAGGAAACGTTTCGAATTTTATATCCCATATATGTAAGACCACATTTAGAGTACTGTATCCAAGCAGCTAGCCCGTGTCTGGTAAAGGATACTAACTCCCTTGAGCGTGTCCAGCGTGTGGGAACGAAATTAGTGAAGGGTCTCTATAAACTCCCTTACTATGAGCGTTTAAAACGCCTAAATCTTTTCCCCTTGTCGTATCGTAGGACACGAGGTGACCTTATACTGGCATCTCGTATCTTTAATTATGAGTTGGGTGTTAATATGTCTTATCTTTTTGCTGCCCTCAGCACTAATAATCTCCGAGGTCATAGCAAGAAGGTTCATAAACCACGATCTAATAAACTTAAAGTGGGGTCCCGTTTTTCTCATCGAGTAGTCAATCATTGGAACGCCTTACCCGAACAAGTGGTATCAGCCCCATCAGTGAATACTTTCAAGGAGAAGCTGGACCTTCACTGGAAAGCAATGTGTCAGGATTAATACAGGTTCACTAACCTACTATCTTTATTACTGAAGACTGAAGACGACGCGTAAACGCGACTCGACACCATGAGAGAACTAAGGGCTATGATGGGTACCAGTATTATTGTCCGGTAGTATAAGTACTGAATTTGTTACAACTTATTAACGTATTTCAACTCAATTTGTATTTCAGTCTGGGAGCCCAATCAACCAAAAAGGGGAAATGCATTGGAAAATAATGTGGAAACGCGCCAAAATATCTGCGTTTTCGCCTGTCCAGAGGAAATGATGAGGATTTCTCCCCTTTTTGTCGGTGTTTCAAATGTCGCAGAAGTGTCTACTTTTCGCGTAAATATACGCCGAATCGTCTACTTTTGCTTCAACTTGAACTAGTGCAAGTAACAATGTCGAAACTTCCAGATACTTCACAACGCCTCGTCTAAAATAGCATGCTGCGACGAATAACCATACCAAAGGTAAATCCTACATCAATCAATTCAAGTTTAACCACTACTCAATGATTTCCTCACACGAATAATGAAAAGGACTCTTATCTTCACACTGCACGCCGCGGTGTGAAATCAGCAGGTCTCTAGAGAGACTTTAGTGCTCGCACAAATAATATAACATTTCAATCCAATACCACCTTAAGTCCATTGTTCTTCATCAGCGTAAATTACCCATCACACATCCTTACTTTTGAAATCAACAACCTGTTCAAGGTCAAATGATGTAAATGGATTCAAATGGTTCAAAAGGTTGTGGACGGAATAGAAGAAGCTTTCGCTTAACAGGCTTCCGTATCTAGTAGCAGGGGATCACGAATAACTGCAGGCAGGAACCCAGGTATGTTAACGATAAAAGAGGAGAAAGAAATTGGTAAATCATAGTACGATACTATCCTTAGACCTTGAGAATAGATCAAGTTGCCTCTTCAGGGACTCATGGGAAGTCGCTTGGACTAGCTCGGCCGGCAGCGAATTCCAGCATTTGACACCTCTGAAGGAGTAAAATTTGTGCCTACAATCCGTTCTGCAGTGTTGTGTCTCCAATTTCTGGGTGTTACCTTTTAGGTTGGTATTGGGGCTAAGATTAAGTAGGTGTTTAAGAGGATGTCCAGAAGTGTTAAGGATACTGTAAGCCATCAGAAGGTCACCTATAAGACGTCTATACTCTAATGGGTAAAGGTCTAGTGAATGGAGGCGTTCTTCGTAAGGTTTAGATTTGAGTCCTTGGACTGATTTCGTGGCTCGCCGTTGGATACGCTCCAAAGTGACCTTGTCCTTTTGGAGTGAGGGAGGGAGTACTATGTTTCCGTACTCTAAATGGGGACGGATGAAAATATTGAAGATTATATGGAAAGTTCGTCCGTCAAACTGTCCAAAAATGCGCTTCAACGTTACCAGTGCAAGGTCTGGTCGGAAGGCATTTTTGTCACAGTTAGCTTAAGACTTTAAATCATGGGGCACCAGGACTCCTAAATCTTTTTCGACTTGGGATACTACTAGAGAGGAGTTTCCTAAGTTGTAACTGTAGTTTGCGACATGTCGCAGATGGACTACTTTACACTTTGAAGTGTTTAAGGTAAGTCCGTTATCGTCTGCCCAACTTTGAAGTCGAGTCAGATCCTCCTGAAGTGCCTGTATATCGTCTTGGTTGCGTATCTCTCTCCAAAGTTTCACGTCGTCGGCAAAAAGTAATAAGTCTGACGTTACCTGTTGAGGAAGATCATTTATGTAGATCAAGAAGAGAAGAGGCCCTAGTACTGAGCCCTGGGGGACCCCACTAGGACATTCCATAGCCTGAGATAAAGTGAAATTAACCCTAACCTTAAAGTGTCGATTTTTTAGGTATGAAGTAAGCCAATCGATTAGAGGTGGTTTGATACCTAGTCGTTTAAGCTTATTGATAAGACTCAAGTGGTTAACCTTATCAAAAGCTTTTGAGAAATCAAGGTAAATGAAATCAACCTTTCCCTTGCGATCGAGGATGCTTGTCCATCTGTCCACCGCAGTCAGCAGGTTTTTTATACCAGAGTAACCCTTCCTGAAACCATGCTGTTGGGGTGAGAAGAAATTTAAGGACAGTAGATAGTCGTTTAAACCGTCGCATATCAGGGACTCCATGAGTTTTGAAGGTAATGACAGAAGAGCCACAGGCCGATAACTTGAGGGTTCATTGCGTCGACCACCTTTGAAAATTGGTGTGATGTGAGCCAACTTCCAATTTTCCGGTAATTTGCCTCGGCTAAGCGAGTGAGAAAACATCACGCTAAGCGGCGTTGCCAGGATTGAGGCTGCCTCCCAAGGTATGGCAGGATGAACCGTATCCGGGCCAGGAGAAGTGTCTAGTCTCATGTGCTGCAATTTCCGGAACACCAAGTCGGCGCTCAGGTTCACTACGGAAAGTCATGTGCAGTTGCAAATGAAACTGCCATCAGTACAGTTGATGTGGGTCGGTTGAGATGTCCGAGAGTATTGTTCAGCCAAAAGGTTGGCGGCGTCGCCGTCGTTATTGGTCGGGCCGTTAAGACCTACCGGTTGAGAAACTCCTGTTTTGGCTTGACGAAGAGAGGCTGCATAACGGAATAGGCTTCTAGGGTTAGAGGCAAATTTGTCCATAAGCTTTGTCTGGTACTGAAGCCTGTCTTCTCTTATAGCCTTCGTGCATATGTTCCTTATATGTTTATATTGCCTATACGCTCCGTCGTTATCAGTTCGTTTGTATTCCGCCCAACAGTGCCTTTTGCGGCTTAGCAGGCGAAGGGTACGGTTCTTGATTACTGTAGGTGGCTTGCAGCTTTTGGGAACCGTTTGAGGAACTGAATGGTTTGTAGCACGTAAGAGCGTGTGCAGTAAGAAGTCCCAATGAGTACCCACATCAATTTGTGGGTGAACATCCCAATCCACCTGTTGTAGATAGTCATGTAGAGCTGAAACATTCAACCGTTTAAAATTCCAACGCAAATTATTGGTGGGATACCTTAGCTTAGTTTTGATGACAAAACTGAAGGCTATAACGGCATGATCGCTTTTCCCCAGAGGAGCCAGGATTGAGAGGTTGTCAACTAGGAATTCTTCGTTTGCCAATACACAGTCTAAGCGCGATGGTGTCTGACTGTTTCTCCAACGAGTTGCCGACCTCACATTTCTATATAAGCCCAAATCTTTGATGAGGTTGAAGAACCGAGCTTCAATTGAGTTGTCGCCTCCAGTGTACGTGTGTTCCGCGAAGTTGACTCTAGGGAGATTAAAGTCCCCTAGAATCAGGATGTGTGTGAAACCGAGACGGGTAGAGCGGGATAGTCCTTCCAGCATACGACTATCGTACTCGATGTCGGCAGTTGGCTTCCTGTAAATGACTCCGACTAGACACCTCGAAGTACTAGACAATCTTACAGAGCACCATATGGATTCCTCAAGATTGTTAAACTCGAGGTTGTGAACTTGGTGCACCTCCAAGCAAGAGCTTATGTATATGGCTACTCCGCCCCCAATTCCTGTTTTTCTGTCGTTGCGGAACAAAGTCATCCCAGGTAATGCTAACTCTTGGTCCGAGAACTGAGA